CTTTGCTACTACAAAGACCTGAGCATTGAATAAAGCTGCTTCTGGTATTCTCCCCATTAAACCAGAGCTGGGGGAGGAGTGCCTATCATTTACATTAAAGCAGGAGCTGCATACACTATTAAAATAATGAATAACTTATGGTTCTGATGCTAATCCAGTGCCTGATACTCTACTTTTATCATGTCTGGCCCAGCTGCAATCAGCAATTTGGGGTCTCATTTCCCAAGAAAAATAAATGAATGGCGATAATAAATTCAGTTAGAACAGGCTTGCTTGATTGCTTTCAATGATCAAATCTGGAGGAGATAAAATTCTGTTCCCAGAGCCACTCACACATTTACATTAGTACTACTGGGCCTGATTCTTGCTGAGACTGGTAAAAATTGTGATTGCAAAGGATAAAGTAACATATGTTGTACATTTAGGGCTCCACTTTGCACAGGACTGTGATGAAAAGATAGTCCCTGAGCTAAAGAGCTAATAATCGAATCAAAAAACAAGAGACAAGATTGGACTGATAGGCGGAAAGTGAAAAGAGTCAGGTGCAAAAAGTCAGGAGCCCACTCTATAGATAGAAAATTTGGATAAGACTATGTGGCTAGATGTAGATGGATCTAATGTCCATTTATAGGTATCCCACAAAAGATTTACCTTTCCTGCATAACAGACAGCAAATTCTGGTCTCCAATTTGCAGGCTTTCACCAAATCCTAGATAGAAACAAAAGAAGAAACATGTTAAACATCCTCTCCCCCAAATGAAACCATCTTAGGAAGATGAAGCCATTATATTCCAAAATGTAACTAATTAATATTTAGTCTGTTAACCAGATCCTCAGATACATTGGGAACAGAGCCTATACAGACCTGGATCTATGTCCTCAAAGCACCTTTTATGTGATGTTCCTGGACTTTCCATTTAGGTCTTTCAGTAACAGCGCAGTAAGTAGGGTGCGAAAGCCCACATCTGGGCTTCTGGGGCTTGTGGAAAGAAGGCATGTGGTTTTTTGTGACTTTGAGTGTTGATTCAGGAAGGCCCAGAGATGGATCTGTGATGTCTTTGCCCTGGGTGCTACACCTGGGGGACATGCCTGTCAGGGTCTACAGTGAGGAGGAGAGGTCAAGGGGGTGTCTCCAGCATGGGGGGACAAAGATGCAGAGAACCGGGCAGAAGGAGAGAGACAAGCAAAGTTATAAGGCTTCATGGGAAGTATCTGAAAAGGCAAATGTGCTGAGCTTGTTAAGGTGCTACCCAGCTACAAAAGTGAGGTGGATCTGTGGTTGCTTGTCTTGTACTCTTCTTCCCACCATCAATTACATCCTCTTCTGTGTCCCTTCTTTTGCACCTATTTTGTCCTCTTTCCTCTTGCTGTTTGCCTCTCTGGTCTGCCTTTGCTCTTTTGCCATCCTTTCCCAATGCATTTACGCATTGTTTTTGTTGAATGCTGTTTCCCTGACTTCTCTCTTCTTTGCTTTTAGCTTACCTTTTCCTTCTGCCTTCCTATGCTTCTGGCCCTGTTGATCCCAGAAATTTTTTAATTGAAATTTGAAAGATTTTTAAGCCATAGCTTCCCCCTGTGGCCCTGGAAGGTGATTGAGGATTACTTAGGAGTGCTATAGGAACAACAGTCCCCCAGCAATGTTCATAATTCAACATGATGTTTAAAGCTTCACAGATCAAGGAGGGCTGATACAGAGAGATAGAAAATGATGGTTCTCCAGAGGAGCTGCCCTGAGGCTCAAGGGAAAAATGAGGGAGTGGGAGATGGTAGGGTGTCATCAAGAGTTTAACAATAGGTCTCTGGGGCTTGGAAAGCTCCGGCATTATTCCAGCAGTGATGTTAACCCTATTAAGTTACTTAAAACCCTTTGATTTTTCAAAGCTGCTGGATTCACCTATGGCCCTGTCATTATTGCGAAGGAATTGACTATTCACAGGAGGCCAAGCTACATTGCTTGTGATTGTCTTATTCCTGCTAGCTTCAACATGAGCTAAGCACATGGAGGCCTGAGGGTGGGATTTGACTCAAAATTACTCTTTATGGTTATAAAAAGTCAAACAGGCTGGAGTTTGCATCTGTTACAACATAAAGCACGAATCAAAATTTCTCTGCTCCTCCAAGAAACAGTGTTTTGTGGAGCTGATGGTTTCCCTGTTGTAACCAAACTAATTAATGTAATGTATATTACAGCAAGAAATACAACAGCTGCTCCATATCTAGGAATGCAAATAAATTGAAAACAACAGCCAGCAAATATTTTTATAAGAACATCTTGATAAGACAAATAAGCACTAATTTCCTTTTACCACAGTAATGCAAGCAGTTTTTTAAAGGCCAGTATCTCAGCTAGGGTCAGTAGAGTACTTTCCAGCCTGTGCCTAGGGGCAAGTGGGGATCCTTTTGCACCTGCATGTCAGACTGAAGGCATCTCCCCTCGGGCACCAGCAGCTCCTGGCCAGCCCATGTAAAGTTCCTGAGTATGATGCTGAATGACATAGGACATTTTCTCTGTCATTCCTACAGAGGGTATTAATTTTCTTTCCAGTGGCCAACCTATTCCTCGAGTCACCTACACAGAAGAAGAAAAGAAAACATGGGGCACTGTCTTCAGGGAGCTGAAGAGTCTCTATCCAACTCATGCTTGTTATGAACACAACCACGTGTTCCCACTGCTGGAGAAGTACTGTGGCTACCGGGAAGACAACATTCCCCAGCTTGAGGATATTTCAAAATTCTTGCAAAGTAAGTTTGAAGCATGTAAAAGAATCAAATCAAATGAAAGGCCTCAGCTGTCAGCGGAGGTGGTGCTTCCAGAGATAGAAAAGCAGTCCCTGCTTTATCATAGGCTCCCTGCGGTGCTTGGACATGTCAGTCTGTGTCCCAGGTCTCTAAATCTTCCAGTGGTACGATGGTACAGGTGCTCAGATACTGTGATGGTGGTACACATGCGTAGAAAATTACCTGCTCTTTCACAATTAAATTCTGTTTAACATAAGGAGAGCAAAGAAAACAATTAACAAACTTTTTCCGTTGTAGGGAGTCTGGATAAGGATAAATCTAACACACTAGCTGTTTTTAAGATGCCTTTTTTTTTGTCCCTTCAGCCTGCACTGGATTTCGCCTGCGTCCTGTTGCAGGCTTGCTCTCCTCTCGGGATTTCTTGGCTGGGCTGGCATTCCGAGTATTTCACTCTACGCAGTATATTCGCCATGCATCCAAACCCATGTACACACCAGAGCCGTAAGTACTTTGACACGGAAAGTGTGTGAAGTCACAGCAGACTAACAGGAGAGTCAGCCCAACTGATAATAACCATGTGGGACTTTGGAGCACTCCTGGAAACAGAGCTAACAGAGATCGACGAGGCAACTGTTATCTTCTTGAAACATTTTTGGAAGATTTCTAGACTTTTTAGCAAGCTGCATTCTCTTCTGCAAGTTCTTATGGGACTGATCAGACAATTTTTCTACTGAAGGCGTGCTTATGAGGTGGCTGGGATGTGAGAGAGCAGTGTACAAAGGCATTTAGCTTAGCTACTAGCACCCAAGCAGTGGTGTGAAGTCCAGTGCAGGAATGACTCAACATGTTGCAAACAAGCTTCTGGCAGCAAGACAGAGGAAGCGCAGATCATTGATCTGTTTTTCAGTTTTATGCTGTAATGTTTCTCTCTGTTCCTGTCCGTTGTCTTTTTCCACTTGCTGTTTTCAAAACAGTTTTCTTCCTCTTCTTCATATTTTTGCAATTCTTCCTCCCCTCCCTTACCGTTTCTTTGCTTCCTACTTCTTCCCACAACACACTTTCCCCCTCTGTTTTTCTATCCCTCATTCTTCTGATTTTCCTCCCTGATTCTGCTCACCCATTCTTTTCCTGCACAAAGCCAAGCTGAAATGTTTTCCACAGACCTGGCCCTCCTGGGAGCATCTTATCCCTCTCCCCTTTCTGTCTCACCAAATCACTTCTCTGTCTCTGAAAAACCTAGTAGTCTCTAGATGAGTTCTTCCCCAAACATACCTGTCCAGCTGCCAACTTCAACTTATCATGAAAATAGTCCTACCTGAGGAAGGGCAAGCTTCCACCTAGCAGTGGGAGTCTGTGGGCCTGAACAGGGACTGGAGTTGAGCTCTTGAGGTACATGTTAACACTATTGTGAATTGTCTTAATAGCCTGAGCTTCATCTAAAGAGGTTTCTTGTCCTTGAGACTGAAAAGTCCATGTTCTCTTGGGTGAGGTGATATCTTTTTGGGCTTTCCTGAGGTGGATGGGTAGTTGGATGCATGGTTTTCTTCCGTAAGGAAGAACAAACAATGTATCATCCTTTCTTTGATGGATATATGATGAGAAAAACACTGAAAACCCTGGAGTGTGCAAGTATTTCCTTCACAAGAATAATTTTAGAGCAAAATGTTTTCCTGTGAGTCCTGAGCATTATCTGCTGGTAGCAGCAAATGCACTGCACTCCTGACTTTGTGCAGGCTCTAGGGCATTCATTCAGCATTGCTGGACTTTTCCTAAATTAAAGTTATTCAAATGTCATGTTTTCCTGCAGTGATATTTGCCATGAACTACTAGGACACGTGCCTCTTTTTGCTGATCCCAGTTTTGCTCAGTTTTCCCAGGTAAGTTGCTCTGTGGTTTTACTCTTTTTATAATTGAACACACCAGAGACTAGGTGACTCAGAGGATGAACCAAGAGCTATGAGGGATGGGGTGTTTATTAGCATATTGTTTAAGAGTGGCTGAGGCTGATTTATTTATTGCTTGAAATCTTGACACAAATGACTTAGGTGAACTCATACACTCAAACTCCAAACAGCTGTCTGCGTGAGTTATTCTTTTACAGGCGAACCCTTTGCAAAACTATAATCTAAAAAACTTTTTGTAGATGTTGATCCTTCTGAGCAAAGTTAAATGTCTCATGAGTCAGATAAATTATTGGCCCACCCTGCAGTACAAATGTTAGGGAAAGTGAAGATGTTTTTTTTAATTTTGTTTTCTGTTGAAGCCACAGAGGAGGCTGAGTAAAGTAGGGAACTGTCCCAGCTGCAAGCATGGGAGAAGGCTGGAGAGGAGCTTTCTCTCTGGTAAAGTTAATGTCTCTGGAAAAGAAGACAAACCTTGGTGAAGGAGAAAACTTTTGGCTGCATCTTGCCAGAAAATGTGGAAAGAGATAAAGTCAGAAAGACAGATAGACAGAGAAAAAGAAGGAAAAGAAAGAAAGACAGAAAGACAGGAAGGAAGGAAGGAAGGAAGGAAGCAAGGAAGCAAGGAAGGAAGGAAGGATGAAAGGAAGAAAGGAATGGAGGGAAAATGGACTCGATACAACATCCTGCTCACAAGACAAAAGTTGAATAGATGTAATTTGTAAGCACTCGGTGTTGCCCTCAGGCTCTATAGTTTCCAGGAACTGGGGTTTCCTTCAAGATGAGCCCTACTGCACCTTGGCTTATTAGGATTTGACATGGCGATGGCTGCTCCCATGCTCTTGGTGGGGGTGTGTGTGTGGCTCTGATTTTGCACTGCTCAGCCCTTAATGGAGCAAACGAAGAAAGGTACCTGGTTATATACAGCCCTCTGTGGCTGTCTTCTGAATCCAGCTATTACATTCCTCCTGGGAAAGTCTACGTTAGCTCTTAAGGTACAAATAAGCTCTTTTAAATCACTCATTCAAGACTCCAGAAAAACTCCTGCAATCAGGGCCCATCAAAACAAAGAGTTGCTAAGGTGTGTGGGTGTGACTGACTTATCTCCTCTTAACCGTATCATTCTCTTGGATGTGCATTGTAGACTTGATTAAAAGCCTGTCAAAGCAAGAGGAAAATTTTATTTGACCTCAATGGGCTTTGTACCAGGCACAAAGGATCATGCCTTGTAAATGACATTTGGACAAGACCCTTTGTTCATTTCTGGAGAAATTTCTGGTTTAAAATTGATCTTGCACTATAGGAGCATGTTCTGTAAACATTTGTGTGTGGTAGTAAGCAATGGTAACATTTAAAATGTGAGAAATCACATAAGACAAGATGGGAAGAATGTTTGCAATAAACAGCTTGAAGAATAATTGTTTATTGTTACAGGAAATTGGACTGGCATCTCTGGGAGCTCCGGATGATTTCATCGAGAAACTTGCTACGGTAATGTCATGGTTTGATGTGGAGGGGGGGGTGGTTCTGGTGGCAGGAGAGGGATTTTGCTCCCTGCGACCTCCCCGGTTTTGGATCCGGGTTAGGCTTAGTTCTGGCCACCGGATCAGACTGCCATCCCCCTCGGGGTTGAGCCAATAGGGCGCCTCTGCGAATTGCCCTATTTAAGTCAGGACAAGGGAACCGGAAAAGGTGCTTCGCCCAGGATCGACCAGAGAAGGGAGGAGGGCACTGCCCCCCGCTCCCTGGCTCCCGGCCGGGCAGCTGCCTGCGTCGGGCCGGCGCCGCC